CTGCTTTTCCACGACAAACGACAGACCTCACTCATAAAACGATATGGGATTATGCAAACCTTGACTCACAACTTCTTACCAGACTTTTACAAGACACTGACTGGGAACAAATTCTGGACAACGACATAGACACAGCAACCGATCTGTTTATAGAGGCTTTATCAAGTGCTGCCGACGCATCGATTCCAAAAAAGATAGTTAGAGACAAATTTCAAAAGCCATGGACGACAAACGACCTAAAAACACAAATAAGGAAACGCGACAGACTGTTCAGACGAGCCAAACAAACTCAGACTGCCTACGACTGGGACCGATGGAAATATCAACGAAACAAAGTGACATCGATGAACAAAAGGCTGAAGCGACAACACATCCAACGCCAAGTGGAGAAACTTTTGACACTTAAGCACGACCCACGCAAGTACCACCAAACACTACGCACAATGACAGGACGAACACGCGACTACACTATTCCACCGCTAGAGGGACATAACGGAGACATATTAACTGACGACTTCGAAAAAGCGACGCTATTAAACAATCATTTCGCCAGTCAAGCGACGGTCGACTTAACCGGCACACACAGACATCCACTAAATCATGACTCAGACAGAACGCCGGTGCCCACTCTGGGTGAACTGATGACATCCGAGAGAGAGGTTCTCCAAATACTAAATTCACTCGATCCTAACAAATCAACGGGCCCCGATGAAATTCCAGTAAAACTTATCAAGTTAACCGCTCTCATCATCGCAGAACCATTGTCCAAACTTTTTAACATGTCACTAAGTCAGGGAATTTATCCATCGAAATTTAAAGAAGCAAACATAAAACCAATTTTCAAAAACAAGGGATCACCTTCTGACTACACTTGTTACCGTCCCATCAGTATACTTTCATCGTTATCTAAAGTCTTCGAAAAAATTGTCTTCAAGGGTATATATTCCCATTTACTGAATCATTCTCTTTTGACCGACAAGCAGAGTGGGTACCGGCGTAGCCACAGTACAGAACAACAGCTTTTATACCTGACTCACAACTTGTACAAATCACTGGACATGGGACGAGACTTTACTGCTATCTACCTCGACATTTCTAAATACTTTGACAAGATCTGGCATGACGGACTGTTGTACAAGAGTAAGCACGACTTCGGAATTACTGACTCACTTTTCGACTGGTTAAAATCATATCTTTGTGATAGGACACACCGAGTACGGATCAACAGCACATTCTCGGCTACTAAAACAATAAATGCGGGCTGCCCGCAGGGATCCGTACTCGGGCCTTTGCTGGCACTTATGTATCTCGACGGACTTTCAAGACGAATAAAGAATGACATTCTCTTTTTCGCTGACGACACATCTATCTACGCCTCGCACACGACAGCAGACATTGACGCCGTACAGCTATCACTACAACAAGACCTCAACGAAATCCACAAATATGGTCGAGAATGGGCAATTACATTCAACGCTACGAAGACCATACAACAAACATTTTCACACAGACATCAGTACACACCACCAAAGCTCACTTTCGAGGGCGCAAACGTACCCATTCATGAAACTCATACTCACCTTGGCTTGACACTTTCTAAGGACCTACGCTTCCACCAACACGTCAATGCAATATGCAACAAGGTACACAAATCACTCAGTCCACTCTACTCCATTGCACGTTACATACCAAGGCCCATTCTCGACCAAATTTACAAGACGTATATAAGACCTTACTTTGACTACTGTGACACAATATATGACGGACACATAACAATACAAGACGCTGCCCGCCTTGACACGCTACAAAACAGAGCAGGGAGACTTGTGACGGGGGCTATGTTCAGGACGTCAACCGAAAAACTTCTACAAGACTTGGGCTGGGACAAACTGACTGTAAGACGACAAATACACAAACTCACTTTATATCATACATTCACTAATCCAAGACACCAAACGCCAAATTATATCACGATGATCATGCCAGAAACACGTGCAGAAAACACCGGCAGAACACTACGCAACTCCAACACACACACCATGCCTCCCAACCGAAGCACATCCTTCCAGAAGTCCTTTTTCCCCTCAACAGGCAAATCCTGGAACCAGCTTCCCGAATCCATCCGATCCCTTCCTCCTCGTTCCTTTCAACGAGAGATCTCGAGGCGACTGGGGGTGCCTGGGCCTTCTCCCTTTTACAAAATTGGCACTAAAATGGGCAATATTTTCCATTCTAGGTTACGAATGCAAATGTCACAACTAAATTCACATTTATTTCAAATACAAAGGCACGATACACCTGAATGTGCTTGTGGCTTTGAAACAGAAAATATTCATCATTTCATTCTCGCGTGTCCCAACTATAATTTGCAGAGAGAGGAACTTTACCGGGACATGTTGCAAACTTATGGCGAAAATTTTGGTCAAATGTCAACTACACGGTTATTACGTGTTCTTTTGCATGGCGACGATCTTGGCGGCGGGGACTGTCGTGCGGTGGCTCAACATTTCCAAAATTTCTTGCTTCGTTCGCACAGATTTACCTATTAATTTACCTACCTCATTCAGTTTTGTGGGCGGCGTCCCCGGTGGGCTGAGTGACGTCAGCGCGGGTTGGGTCGGTGGCCTGTCGTGGCGGCGGCAGTGGTAGTTTTGTTTCATTACGCTACGTTACCTTCATTACGTTGTATGTTTATGTTATATTCGACGTTGATCTGAAGGCTATGTTCATGTTGTTTTATGTTTATGATGTCTATCTGATTATGTTACAAGAGGTGGTGCCTAGAGTCAAGCACAATGTGCTTTTGCACCACTCTTATATTATTTTGCTTTATCTCTGTTATTCATGTTCATTTTCCGATCGTTTTACTTATAGGTTGTCGATGCGCAATAAACATTCTGGAATGGAAATGGAAAAAATGTGGACCATGTAACATCAAAGTGCACGGGCATTCTTCTTGGTATGATGCATGCCAAACATGTAGTTCCGAAAAGTGCTGTCGTGACGATCGTGCAGGCTCTTGTGACATCAATCATTAGATACTGCATCTCGGTTTACGGTACATGTAATGCAACGCAGCTACATAGAGTACAGAAGCTCCTAAACTTTGGTGCCAGAGTGGTTAGCGGCCGGCGTAAGCACGACCATGTAGCGGACGTTCTCCGTGACCTGAACTGGTTAGACGCGCGTGGCCTTGTCACGTATCACCGACTGTGTCTCACCCATGCTGCCATCACGACCGGTAGTCCCGAATGCATCGCTATGTGCATCGGCCCCAGTAGAGACCACGTGTATCAGACGAGAGGCTCCTCTCAGCGCACGCTACCGAGGATACACTCTGAGTCGGGTCGTGCAGGCGTCTCAGCTACGGTGATGTCCAGCAGTACAACCAGCTGCCATTCGACACAAACACTCGCCACTCCAAATCCACCCTGAGACGCTACCTACTCAGAGAACTGTATGGCTGACCTGATCAAGTATCGCGGTGTATTGTATTGGCCTGAATGTATTTTACCTCGTATGTTTTCAACCTTTGACGTGTGACGATGAAAAACCATATTCGATGGATTCGTTATGAAATATATTCTGATTCTGATTCGACAGGTCGATCGGTGCGCTGTCTTGGTCGCCCGCCGTGGCCTCACCAGGCAGGCGGTCGGCGGTCTCGTTGCCGTCCAGCCCGGCATGGCCTGGCACCCACTGGAGCACCGTCTCGGTGCCGTTCTCGGCGAGGGTGTTTAGCAGCCTCCAGACCTCGGCGGCCAGGGCCATGGTCTGGTTAGCTGGACCGCGGCCGAGTAGTTGTAGCCCAGACCTTGAGTCGGTGAGGAGGCGGACCGATTTGGTCGATGCCAGCTCCCCGTCTTCCAGGCCGGCCGCGCATGGCGGTCAGTTCTGCTCTTAGGCTGGAGCAGACCGCTCCTGCAGGAGCGCGCACGGTCTCTTCTCTGTTGAGGTGGTGGAACTGGAGAGTGCCGCACTGTGTCCTCCCCTCCCCTCCCGGCCGGCATTGCCGCGCTGTGCCCCCCCCCCCTCCCTCCGAGCGGGGGGGGGGGGGGTGCCGTCCTCTCCGCCGCCGCGCCGCGGCCGTCCGTCCCGAGCGGCGCCCACCCCCTCACCCCGCCCCTCGGCGCTGACCGGCCGCTCCCCCTCCCCTCCCTCCGCCGCCCCGCCGAGCCGGCTGGCCGCGCGGCTCGGCGTCGTCCCGGCAGGCCACCGGACACCTTCAGACCCAGACGGCAGTGTCGAGTGATTCTGCGCCGCCGCCGCCGCCGCCGGGAGAGCCAGGGAGCTGAGTGACAGGATAAACTTCCTCCCGTGCTGGTTCGGTTTCTGAGCACTGGTGCATGAAAACCGTCTACATAAACTTGATATGAACTTGGATGAATTGTGGAATCTAACTTTGTTGCTGAAAGAGCGAGTACACAAAGTCATTGACATAAACGAAGTGCTGTAGTTCGTGCAGTAGTGCGACGACTGTGAGAGAATTGATATCAATCGATGAAATGCGAACCTGTTTGCTAGTAGGGGGCATTTCCGAGTCGATTTTTGATTGGGTGGCCTTGGGCACGGCGCTTTGGCTGGAGGCGGTTGATGCGAACTGCATTGGCTCCTCATAATGTCAGAATTTCTATCCACGCTTCGAATGAGTGTTGCAAAGAAAACCCTTTGCATTTAATTACTTATCGCAATCGTTCATGACAACAATATCAGATTATGGATTATGTAAATCGTATCAGCATTAGCTAGGTACCGTATTAGGATAAGCATTTGTGAATTAACACGGTGATTCAACCATCAATATCAGAAATAATTCATTGAGGTCGACTCAATGTCATTTATATTTATCTTCGACTGCGGTGACTCTTCATTCCTACAAATTTTTACAGTAAAAGCTCACTGTCTTTTATGTCGCATTATTTTTGTTTTTATTCTCGTGCAGCAGGGCCAGTTTATATTTTTTTTTTAGCCTTGCTTGAACCAACCAAAAATGTAAAAAGCTGTTTGTAAGTTATGCATAGTTGTTGCGTTTTTAAAGAAATATTTTCTTTTATGTTCTTCGATTTGATCATACGTAAAGGAAAATTTGCACCAGCTGAAGAACTTATTTACGGAAGATACGGAAAATTATTATGGGCGTTATAACCTTCAAGATTTTAAACTAATTCGTAAGTTTCATTTCGTCTGTTCTGTCTGGTTCGCTTTTGTGAAATGATCCGGTTATCCATTCCAACTTGTTTAATTTAAGCTTTGTTTAATTTATGCCCGTAGCGTCTGGATGTTTATTCTGTTTGTGTAATTTTACAGAAGACCATTGCAATAAGATCAAACCATTCGGAGACTGCATGTTGGATGGCCAAAAGAGCAAAGTGCCGACAACGGTTTTGGATTAAGCTCTCGGACATCGGACGACGACGAGCTACAAGAGCAGGCAAATTGGGCTGGTTAAAGCACCAAAAACGTATGGCCTGTGTTACACTGCACGCAGCTCAAACCACCACTTCAGAACATCGCTTCGCCGACAGCATATGTATACCTACATAGAGGGGAGCACAATCATTTGAATCATCATCAAAAATAAGGCCACGGTCCCACCCGCTCTGCCACAGTCAACTATGACAAGCACAGGAGAGATCACGTCAATGTGTAAATACACATGCACAGGCAATAGGTATAAATCATGATGGAAGATGAAGACAACATCCGAACAGTATCGCAAATATTTCTGGCTTTAACCCTCGCCCGTATGGGGGGGGGGGTCGAACGGACCCTCTCGTTTTTTCGCGAATATCTCACGTAAAAAGTGGCCGATCCCAACGAAACTTTAGTGCCCTCGCGCTAATCAATTTTACACCTACCCTAAAAATTTCATGACCCTGACCCAGATGACCTTGGACCTGTGACCTTCTTTTCGAGACCATGTTTGGCTGGAATTGCGATTCGGCGTACGTCGTCGGCTTACGCGCGTTTGCAGTCTTCGTGGTTTCAAGCGTTCAAACATGTGATATGATGTTGCTTCCATGCATTAAGGTGGGTGTCAAGGTCACCTGAAGATCAGGCCAGGTCTTGACCTTTGATGACCTGACCTCGGTTCACTTTTTCGAGTTTTACATGTTGCTAGGCTAGTTTTCGGAGCTGAATTCGAATTTAGCAACCATTTGAACATTCACGAAGTAGTTTTGGTGCCATCTTAATTCTTAATTGCTGCGAAGCTGTCAGAGGCGGTTGACACCTTCTACACCTTAGGCAGGACCCCTACTGGTTGACCTGACCTGACCTGACCTGACCCGACCTGGCCTAAATGCATGAAAACATCATCTGTGATCAAAACTAGCATGACATTCGTGATCAGCACCCCGAAAAACCTCATAGCAGCCACACTACGACGTTCTAACAGGTCCCAATTTTCCCGCCTTTTGGGTCATTGACCTGACCTGGAAGGTCAACCGATGACCTAGGACCTTAAAATGGCGTATCATCAGCTTTCTCTCGTCACGGGCAACACGTTCGTTTCTTCTGCGAAGCTCTAGCTCGATCAGGGGCTAAACGGCAAGGGGGGTTCCAACTGACCCCCCCTCCCCCTGATACGTTCGCGGCTGGCAAAACACCAATACGGGAGAGGGTTATGAGGCGCGCGCCGCGCCGGGTCCTCTCGGCCGGGCTGACCGCCCCAGCCGCTGATATGCGGTGGCCCGGGTGTTTGTTTTTTGTGTTGTTGGGTTAGGCCCAAGCACTCTGCACCCGGCTACGGGGTGCGCTCCCTCGGGAGCAGCGGTGCCGCTCCAAGGGAGCAGCATGCATGAGATAGAGGTGCTTGTCCAGCCCGGAGTGGGAGTGCGGCGTGGTGAAGAAGGATTTCAATTTTCAGTATCCTGAGGATGGGAACGATGGAACGGACGGTGGCCGAGGTGTCGTCTGTGATTGATATGAGGCATTACCTGGTGGCGGGTCCGAGGTTTGAGCTGCTACCTGGAACCCTTACACAAAGCACGCATCTCCGATGGTCGTTCAGCGGCGGGGGCGTCCCCTCGTCTGCCCCGGCCGGCGGGGGACCTCCCGCAGCGACCCTCGGTCACCCACGCGTTGCTGGCGTCGGTGGTCTGCCAGACGGGACCCGACCGGACCCGACCCGCGCCGCGGCGCGCCGGGCAGACTGGCCCGGTCCCAGGTGGCCGGAATTCCTGAAAGGTGTCGGCTCCCACAGTATTCTCGAGGTCCGCCCACCCTGTGATGGTGACTGGTCCGTCTCCCTCTGGCTTCTTCTTCTGACTTCTGTCTCACACGCAGCCGTTAGTCGCGCAGTCGGCAACTCGTTTCCTGAGCTGTCTTGCCAAGTTTTGTTTGATGCACCTTATGAAACACAGTTTGTATTCATTGACCCCGTTTCCATGGGCATCACTGATCCGGATCAGCAAATTTAAATCGTATTATATTTCTCGAACTCTTCGCTACATGATATCATTCGATATGGATTGGGCTTATATCATCAGTTAATCCCTTATTTTCATTTTCATATATTGACTAACTATAGGTACTGGATTTAGCTAATCCATTTTTACTGATCCGGATCAGTGAGCCCATGGAAACGTGGTCATTGACTTTGGTGGAATCAAATGGGTCCAACTGGTTCCGATTTTAACCCTCGCATGCGTAGGGGGGAGGGGGATCGGATGGACCCAGGGACGTAGCCAAGGGGGGGGGGGCGGAGGGGGCGCCCGCCCCTCCCTTGGGGTTTTCAGGAGGCCCCCCGAAAGGATTCAGGCCAACGTGGGCCGAAGGCCCACGTTGGCCTGAATCCTTTCGGCCTGAATCCTACGTGGGCCGAAGGCCCACGTTGGCCAAAATCACGTCGGAGGCGAACGAAATTCACGCGGGAATCTAAAAATGACGTCAGAACAATCAGGGCCCTCTGATCAGCCTGACAAGTGACAGCTAGGGCCCTTCTCATCTCCTGTGAATAACCACTAGTGTCTGTGTCTGACCGCTAGGGCCCCTCTGACTCCTCAGTAGAGAGGAGGCCCTCTGTGGGTAGGAGGCCCTCTGTGGGTAGGAGGCCCTCTGTGGGTAGGAGGCCCTCTGTAGAGAGGAGGCCCCCTTAGAGAGGAGACCCCCTGTAGAGAGGAGGCCCTCTGCAAAAAGGAGGCCCTCTGTAAAAAAGAGGCCCTCTGTAAAAAGGAGGCCCTCTGTAGAGAGCAGGCCCTCTGTAAAGAGGAAACCGTCTGAAATCAGAAGGCCCTTTGAAGAGAGGAGGCCCTCTGTAGAGAGGAAATCGTCTGAAGAGAGGAGGCCCTCTGTAGAGGAGGACTCCCTCAGTAGAAAGGAGGTCCTCTGTATGTAAGAGGCCCTCTGTAGAGTGAAGGCCCTCTGAAGAGAGGAGGCCCTTTGCAAAGATGAGGTCCTCTGTATAGAGGAGGTCCTGTGTAAAGACGAGACTCTGAAGAGAGGAGGCCCTACATAGATAGGAAGCCCTCTGTAGAGAGGAGGTCCCTGTAGAGACTAGAGAGGAGGCCCTCTGTAGAGAGGACGCCCTCTGTAAAGGAGGCCCTCAGGAGAGAAAGACACCCTCAGCAGAGAGGAGACCCTCTGTAGATAAGAGGCAATCTGTAGAGAGGAAGCCCTCTGTAGATAAGAGGCCCTCTGTGGGCAGGAGGCTCCCGGTAGTCAAAGACAGTGTCGTATATTAAGTACATAGAGTGGAGGCCCACTGTAAGCAAATTACCTTCTGGCTTCTGGTCCCTGCTACTCTCTATAGAGAGTTCTCAGTTCTCACTATAGTGAGAACTGAGAACTCAGGAAACTGTACAGAATAGACTCCCAACCTCGTCACCGCCCACTGTAGGAAGGGACAGGGGATGAGGTCCTCTGTAAACAGAAGACCCTATCCTATGTAGAAAAATTATTTGTATAAATGCGCTCCGAGAAATCATGCCGGGTGCCGTCAACGGTTTTGCCGCCAACGGTTCTACCTGCAGTGGCCGCAAAAACTGCCAAAATAGCCGATATTTTCGGAAACCAGTTTTCGGCAATAACTTTCGTCTCAAAATTTGCATCAACTTCCCTATACCAGCATCGTGTTCCTCTCGTCAAGACGTGTGGAATGAACTATCAATTGACCTTGAAAGGTCAACGTGAAAATTTGGCCTCAGGTCAAGGTCATGACCTGACCGATAAGGGTTAAGTTCCATATCAGTCCATCCGTATCGTCGAGCCAAACACAACTAAGGTGTATGTATTTATCGCTCTAGCATGCCTCTATCAAAAGTTATTCGCGAAAAACAGTCAGATACCATTGGTGACCTGAGATGACCTCAGGGTTATAAAAAGGGGTCACGGGTGCCATTTTCATGTTCAGTGTGTCAAAGATACTAGTAATTCAGTGTTTTAGAGTGTTTATAATGACTTCCGTCTAAAAAGGCGACTTTCAATTTAAGGTCGCAAAATTGACCTGACCTTATGTCATCGATATCAAAATTTCAAGACATACCTACATTTTTTTGCATTTGGTCGCTCTTTTGCATTTGCATCTCTGAAAGTTTAAAGCGTTTGGTCACTCCGTGTAGCTTTGGCAGACATTGAAACTTTTTATGTAGTGAGGTCATTTGACCTGACCTGGTGACCTGACCTTAACCCGCGACCGCCTGGGGGGGGGGTCGGATCCGACCCCCCCCCCTCCGTTTTTCTTGAATAACTCATGAACCACTTTCGCTATCTACTTGAAACTTGGCATACCTTCTCCCCCATCAATTTGACGTTTCCTGTGCAATTTTTAAGAAAAAATTTCTATTTTTTTTTTTAGATATATCGATTTTAGTGATGTAACTACATGGCATTTTTAGTCAAAAAGTGGTAAATGTTTAAAAAATCACCAAAAATCAGGGTTTTAAGCAAATAACAAATTAAGGACTGGAAAAGACGCAGCTCAACGAGTTCTTCAAAATGGCTATCTCGGATTTTCCATAAAATGCGTTTTTCACCCCTAAAAATTCAAAAGACTATATTTTTGAAAACAGCTAATAAAATCCAAAATTTTGGGAATTTCCAAAAAACCGGAATATACGTTGTAGAGCTCTATTAGAACATAAGATGCCCCAAATTTCAACTTTCTATCTTGATTTTTGACCCCCAAATTGTAAAAATAGCTCCAACATGCATAGGGCATGGTGACGTCATAAGCATTTTCGTGAATTAGAGGCACTTCTGAACATCGCATGTAAAAACAAATGGCACCGCTAGATTCCTGGGACAAAGCTCGTCTAGAAAAGTGCATTTTTATGTTAAAAATAAAAAGTTGAAAAATTGACTTTTTCTTAGCCCTCGTTTAGTTTTGTATGGTAAAAACGATTTTTTTATGCTTTCAATGCACACTCATCACCAGCACAGTGACTTGGGGTCACATATAACCATTACCATCGGATTCGGCGTGAAAAATAAGCCATAAAACATGTGTCGCACGCCCATGTAGCAGAAAGTGAAAACCGTGACCTTTCGTGACCTGACCTGACCTTGACCCGTACTTAGTATGACCCCTATACGCACATGGTACCTTCACTAGGCCTTTGAGGTCATTTTTGG